ATGCAGGCAGACCCGCTTCTCTAATGTTGGATTGAGTTAGCATTTCCAATATGGCGACCTCTGCCACGGACAGGCCCCAAAACTCTGCTTCAGAATACTGGTTGACATTACCCATGAGTATCTGTAGAGGGGTTAAGAGGCCCAAAGATAGCACCACCATACACCATACTGGAAATGTTCACTCCATCTAGGGTGTGATGGAGGCTACAGCCTACCTGAGTTACCTGCCTGCTGCCTACCAGTAAAATCAGCCAGGCCCTACACGAGGACTTATTATTGGTGCGTTCGAGTTACCTCGGAAGTCAGAAGTCGGAGCTGAAAATGATGTCACACCCGAGTTCCCAGCATTTCAGTTACCAAGTCGGAAAAAAACAAAATCGGAGGCGGAAACAAGATGGCTACATCTACGAAAGTTATTTTAGCACTTGCCTTGTCCAAATATAAAGCAAGCACTAAAATAACTTTCGTAGATGTAGCCATCTTTTTTTTTTTTTTTTGACGTCATTTTCAGCTCAGACTTCTGACTTCTGAGATAACTCGAACGCAGCAAATGTCTTACTCATCCAGTGTATAAAATAGGACCAGTTGCTTTTGGTCAGCACTGCATCTGTAAAAAAAAAAACACCACTGTTGCACCCTGCAACAAACCGCATCGTGATCAGCTGTGTGCTGGAGATCAGTTAGAGATAGAAGGCTGCTCTTTCTAACTTTCAACATTTGCACTTTATAAGGCGTGTTAAGTCTTGGGGTTATTCCTGTCTGTATTTGAAAGTGGGTGCGGTTTATATCGCTCATGTTTTAGCTTTCTAGCAACAAACACCATAAAAGGTTAGAAAAGACCCAATCACATTACAAATGAGCATCAGACTGAATGATATCATGTTATTTCTGGCAGCGCAGTTCAAAGCATCAAATTGATTTCTGACATAAATAGGAAACATGTTTCTACCTCCTCATACTACTTCTCTCTCTCTCTCTCTTTTTAATTATTTGTACTGTTTGTGCACTCTAAACTGGACTCTAAAGGGGTAAGAGCTCGGTCTGTGAACCCAACTCCAAGTGGACACTCTGGGAAATGCAGTATTTTTACCGTTTTCTTTGCCACTTAAAAAAATGTATAAAAATGGCCAATAACAGGTAAAACAGGCTGCAAATTTAGAGAACATCCAAACACATGCAGAAGCCTAAAATGAATGCAATGATAAAAACCAGCTGCAAATGTACTAAAAGCAAATGTGCTGGAGGACAAAACATATTCTTAATTCAAAACAAATGCAAAACACAGTTAAAATTTAATTAACCACAATGGAAGTGTACTGTAAGGGATGGAAAAACTCAAGTTTAAAAGGTTATTTCAGTTCCTGTGTCAATCCCCGGATTTGGCACGTTTTGAATCTGCATTGTTTTTTAATTTGCAGCTTCAATAAAAACCATTTGGACAATTGCAGTGTAGTCGCCTTCTTCAGCCAGCGTATGACTGTGCTTTTTGGAATAAAATGAGCATTTGTCCCACCCTTTCCCATCTAACCCCCACCCAAAGTCGGCCATACCACCTCTACAGCCGACAGCTGTTAGTCCTCGTACAGGATGGGTGTGTGTTGTTTTGTCTGCCTGTGTGCGCATAAATAAATGATGAGAGGACTGGATCTCTGGGACAGGGCTAAGGCCAAGTGCAGCTCTTCCATCCTGTCGGTAAGCCGGAAAAAAAAGGTCTGCACTTGCTGCTAATTGGAAGTGGCGAGGTGATCTGATGACACCGCGGGGATACTTTGGTTTGTCACAACGTGTAAAGGCCCTTAAATTTCAAGGGTGGCTGCCTTCAAGGAGGAGTTAATCAATGTACAGCTTAACGCAGACGACTCAGGACAGAGCGCAGCGGCTGGTCCCAGGGTAACTGAGGTTAAAACTGAGGAGACATTCCAGGAAGAAGCTGACTTCCTCCTGCGAACTTTGAAGCTGTTACAACTGTACTTCCTGCAATACATCATGCAAGAAACTGCATTTATGTTTCAAGTCGGCGCTGTCATTGAAAGCAGACGCAGCTCCTGAGTTCTGTATCTCACCTCAGACATGAGTGGATTGCATGCAGCAGGAGCACACTCTGCAGACAGGCGTGATAGAAAGCCTGTAAAAGAAGAGATAAAAATGCAGAAGCTCTGAACATCAATCATGGTCAGAGCCAAGTCATCCCATACACAATCAATTTGCACGGTGTCTTGAGTCCCCACAGCACATATGATACTATTTCGCAACAACTTCTTCACACCAAAGGAGACATTTGATATGGCGCATAGGAAGACGGAAGTGAAAAAAGATGTGTATGTTCAGGTAAATGCCTGTGCCTAAACATGTCATATGTTCACGTCTATTCCCACCTAAAGTCAGGACCATACCTCTCATGCTAAACCTTCTTTTTTTCTCTCTCTCTGACTCTCTCTCCAGCTCACACACATTAACATTTATAGCCTCCCTGCACTGACTTGTAAAGTTAAGATTTACACTTAAGCACTAAAATCAGCTTGAGACAAACAAACAAATTAAAATCACAAATGCTGAGGTCTCTCAAGTGTGCCAGCATTTTGGGAACACTTATTGGAGCGTATTTACTGTAATAGAAGAGCAGAATTTGTTGTGCATGAGGCATTTTTATCACTGAACATGCCTTTTTACAGGGGAAAGTATACAAGTTTCTGAATGTTTTCCTTGAATCTTCTCTTATATGTGAAACCTGGGTCTCATATATCCTAAGACCCCCCCTTCAGTGCTTCTCTAAGTAAAATTAAGACCTTTAAAAACCAATTTACATTGTAAACACTCCATGCAAATCTTGTTAACAGTGTTGGGGGTCTGCAAGCACCATGCAGAACCAAAGATGCAGATCTAAGGGATCTCCATGGACCACCACACGCACGTAAACACACACACACAGCGCTCATCCTGCACCCACCGCCTGCATGCCACTCCCTGGGGAGAGCGCCCACCTCCTGACCCCCTCCAACAGGGGGGTCAAAGGGAATTTAACACAAGGTTCCCACATTCCTCAAAGGTGATAATTGATGTAGCTGCTGGCAGGGGGGCACCGAGCACAGGGTAAACAAGCAGTTGTGACTCCCTATGCACCCACCTCCTCCCCCCTCCTCGTCCTGCTAAACAGTATGCACGGCTGTGACCTGAGTAAATTACAGCATCAAACCTGGTGTGACAGCGTGTCACTCGTCACAGCAAACTGGCTCTGTTTGGTGACTGAGCACCCAGGTGTTTCACTTGACTGTTACTAAACCATCAGACAGACAAGCCACTTCACACACACACACCGCCAGATACGAGCCAGAACACGACTGTTAGCCGGGGGAGAGAAACAATCACAGCAATGGCTGGCAAAATACAGACAAAATAAAATTAATGGATGAATGAATGAAAAGGGAAAAATTAAAATAAGTACAGTCTAATCAGCACTTACTATATTGAGGCAGCAAGTCAAGCTTAGATGTGACTCTGAAATGGTTTTTACCTTTAGCCTCACATTGTGTATTCATCATGGAGTCATAATATCAAGGGTTAAGCACCACAACTGTAGTGGTTTCTCGGCTGGGGTGCCACTGCTTCCTCCCACTGTCCAAAGATGTAGTTATCAAGTTAGTTGGTGACACTAAATTGGTTGTTTTTATTATATTTGGGCGGCAGTAGCTCAGGAGGTAGAGTGGTCGGCCAACAAATGGAAAGTTAGCGGTTCAAGTTAGCGGTTAGCGGTTCTAACCCTATCCCCAGTCTGTCCGTTGTGTCCTTGGGCAAGACACTTAACCCACCTTGCTCCCAGTGTGTGTGTCCTTCACTGGGGTATGATTGTGAGTGTTGTGTGGTGCAGGTGGTCGGAGAGGCTGTGGGTGCAAACTGACAGCCACGATTCTGTCAGTCTGCCCCAGGGCAGCTGTGACTACCAAGGTATTTTACCACCACCAGGGTGTGACTGTGTGAGTGAATGAATGATGTATCAAATGTAAAGCACTCTGAGGTCACTGACAAAAAGTGCAATAAAATCTGATGCATTATTATTATTTATTATTGTTTGTCTCTGTAAGCTCCGGATGGACTGGTAACTAGTCCAGGGCTTAACCTGCCACGTCCCTAGTTACCTTCGACAGGATAAGCGGCATAGATGATGGGTTGATGGATAAATGGATAGATATCACTCTTGGGTAAGTTAAAGCCCTGTTTCTGTATTTATTGGATTGATTTGACCCTAAGTGACAGTGAAAAGGTACCAAAATATTAAAGGATAAGGCAAGTAATATTTTTCTTTTTCTATTAGTGATTCAAAAAAGTCATCCAAAAATTTGAAAATGGACTAATAAAAGATGTAGTGACTGGATTTAAGTTTGGATCCCTGATGTTTAAAGCAAAACCCCCCATACACAACACAAACATTGTATTGTGTATCGATTGTATAGCTAACATAAGCTTTTCTACCAACCATCTTACCTCTGATTTTTAATAGAGGCTTAATGCTGATGTTAGCTTTATTCAGTTCAACTGTGTATGAATGTTTTTTAACTTAAAAGATGAGAAGATGTCTGTCGAGATTTTCACTATCAAATTTTTCATGTAGTTGAGGCTTGTACAACTTACAACCTAGATCACAGCGGTTCAACAGGATAAGAATATTTGAGTATCGAACCGTAGCGTAGCACTGAAGTGAAACCATGTATTTGGGATATATATTTTCAGTTGAACATGAGCTGGAATATCACGGGGGGAAAAAGACAGGGAGCTTAAGTTTAACTCTCCTCGTTGTGTTTGCTGACAATAAGAGCAATACCAAGACTAAGACATTCATTTGAGGTACTTTAAGGAGATGATATACATGCCAGTGTCCTGTGTGTTGTTAGTGGTGGTTAGTTTAGATAAGGGGGGGTTTGGCAGTGTGGTTATTTCCTGGTTTCTGCCCACATGTGGTTCTCCCCCAGCCACACACTGAGGCTAGAGGAGGTTATAAAAGCCGAGGGGGTGATTAAGAAGCAGGAATAATGGCCTCCACAAAACTAGGAATGTGTTTAACTATTACAACGGCTCCAGAATCTTTCTGGATCTGACTGCTGCCATTAATATCAAGAGTTATGTGCAGCTTTGGAGGAGGGGATTTTTTTTTTTTTTTTTTACATGATTTTCAAAGAAAGTGGTTCTGGGAAAGCATGAGGGCCAAGAGCAGGATGTGCTGTAGGTTTATGATTTATGTCTGAGCTTGACCCAGGAGGATTTAAGGCGGGTGTATCTGGAGCTGCGCCGACCTAACCCACCAGTTCTGCATTGTTGGAGATTGGTGGATCCTTCTTAATCCGGGATTAGAAAAGTCAAATATACAAACACCTTCACCTCTGCTCTCTTTTTTACACACACAGACACAGGAAGAAGAGGGAGCCGTAGAAAGAGTCACCGTCGGCTACTGCCTGCCTGCTAAGCATGCCCAAACCCCCAAACCCCATCACTTTCCTCATTACCGGAGCTTCATGGCTTTTTAGGGCTCTGTGCTTTATCTGGGATTTCACATTTCCCAGCCTGCCACTTGACATGGCTCACCCAGCTGCCAGCAATCAAGAAGCAGAGGGCAGCAGTCAGGGCCCGGCTGAGTCTTCAGGCTGCACCTTGATTTGAGAATTGCACATCACAGCCACTGGCCCCGCTAAGCTTCGGTAATTACAGGTCACACATCCCCATCGAGCCTCCAACCCTATTTCTACTCCACATCATACACTAACCTGACATAATGGGTGGAGTGGGAGAAGACGGGGGTGCATACAGAGAGATAGAGATGGTCACGGGTCAAGGGTGGGTTCTTAGGATGTGGATCTGTGATTCGAAAGGTGTAAAGTGTGTTGAAAAAGGAAGGGAGAATATGCTCGGCTAGGCTGTCAGTCTTAGTTTGCAGCATATATGGAGCATTCTGACTGCGTTTTTGTGCATTTTGTGCTTGCATCTACAGTACACATTGTGCATGTGTGTGTGTGTGTGCCTAATTGAGAGGTAAGCAAAAAAGTTGCCTTTAAAGTTGCCAATAAATATCCTGCCAGTAATGTTAAACACCTGCCCGTAAAGCCCAGAGGAATGCTAAATGAAACCAAGTTGCAGAGCCTGTCTCCTGTCTGGGGTCTCAAGTCAAGACAGCAGGATTTGTAATGGCTGTATCCTGGATTATTGAGTTCAAGCAGAAAAGCCAGGAAGCAAGACGGAAAAAAAAAAAAAAATCACGACATGGTCGGCCGGCACCGCTTTTCCTCCCTCAAACAGCCCCAACAACAACTCACGGTTGTGCCCCTTTGCAGAGAAGACAGAAAAGTCCAGATTGTTCCTCCATGTAATTACACGGAAGAATCAATGCAGCAACTTTTGGCATCAGAAAGTTGTCAAAACACATCATGGCGAGATTTTCTTTTACCACCGCTGTTACACATGAGTGATCAAAGCTTTTCATGGTTGGTGTTGTATAATAATAGTGGACACATGGATGTTAAAACAGAGAAAAACGTCCACGCTGTTCTTTGTGCGAGTGTGAGCCAGATAAAGTAAGACAGATGATTACAGCGACTCAAAACACGTCCCTTGGTTCCTCTCGCTGCGGGGTCACACACACGTTTGGGAACACATGCTTTTCCACACACAAAGATAACTGAGCACTCATGCACGGATACCCGTACTTTCACAAAGATACAGTGTCAAGGCAGGAAGAGCCTCCAGGGGTTACATCTGACCCTGGAAGCCACAGACGCCGTCGTTTGGCCTCATCTCTGGTTTCGATTCCCTCAGCTCCTGACGCCTTACTCTCACTGCACCTGTCGAGCCCCAATAGACCCCCCGCCCAGGCCCTTTCACCACGGAGAATATATGGCCCTCGTTCCTTCGTCCAGTCTAGCTAATTGCTCCTGGCCTTAAACTGTACCCCATAACAGGGCACATAGCTTCTTTAGCCACCTTTAGGCCTCTCTCTCTCTGTTTCTTTCTCTGTCTCTCTGCTACCCCTTCATTCCTCCGCACAGACCAGATAAGGCTGACCAAGCAGAAGCATTTACTACAGAAGTCACAGCCTGCCCCTTTCAACCCAGAGATTAAGCACTGCTGTCTACACGCAACCATGAATAATGAAGCTATCACCCCAGACAGGCAGGCAACAGCAGCGTGAGTTATATACACCAGCCATCCCATATTCTGCTGCGCACACGTGCATACAGTAGCAGAACAACTGTACAGCTCATGCATTATTTCACACTGCTGAAGTCTCACTTAGAGCCAATTAAACATCTTCAATGACCTCCAGGCTTACTGTAAGATCTTCAGCCTTTACTATTGGCTGACAATGGGACAATTCACTGAGGTAAAAAGCAGAGGGGCCCAGGTGCAATGAAGTGTGACTCAGCCCCTCTGCACGCTAATTCTGCACAAGTGCCCCCTTGGAAACTGGTGCGAATACGTCCGTGCTGTAGATTGGAGGCCACCAAAAAAATAAATAAAAAAAAGAAAGCCATGACACTGACATAAAGTTGTTTTTAACATCCTACTTCATTACCTAACATACAGTAGATATGCCTTAGATATTTCAATTCAAGCCTATTTAAAAATCATTTAGAGAGGTGACGTTTTTTAAAACATCTGTTATTAACTTGGCAAGGATTGATTGTTGGATATAGTTAGTGATGTGTCTGTATGATATCAATAATTATTACCTGCAGGGCCAGCTATGACCCCCTCCACCTCATGTCAGGCTAAGTGCTGACAGTCATGACAGCAGGTGGTGAGCTGATGCAACCAGGCTGTTCATCATCTTCAAACATAATGTCCATCTGTCCATCTTTCTATGACAGGCACTGAGCTGAGACACCTGAGCTGTAATTATTTAGTGGGGGGCTTCAAAGGTAATAGGATATCTCATACTTTTTACATTATTATTATTATGAAGAGACAGTAACTAAAACCCATGGGATTAAACTTTTTTGTGCATGTATAGTAATCCTAATTAAAAACACACCTCATAAACATCCTTATTATGTCTTCTAGTGGAAGTAAGCCCTCGCACTGCCTGCACACAGCAGTAGGCTGTACCTGACGTGCGGGTGGATAATAGCAGACACCACGTGACTGCAGCACTTTCAGTCTGGACGCACGACAGGGTCTGTCAGAGCTTCCCTGGTGAGGACGACACACACACGCACTGGACGGATAAAAATAGACGCCATTCATGTGCTGAGAGGACGATGACAAAGCAACAGAACGCATATCCAACTTGGTAAACTTCAACACAGTCGCTTCGTTTTATAAGTCTTGTCATGGTAGATCAGACTTTTATATCATATGTGCAGTTTATTGGATCAAAAACGCGCAAGAGCGCACAGATAAACCCCGCGCGGATTTCACTCCTCCCTCCTGCTATTCCAGTCAAAACAGTGGTGTTGTCTGTTCCATCGCGCCACACACCACACACACCTCACTCCCCGTCTCACAAAGAGCGACACGGACACCACTCGTTAGTTCACCACATAAGACTTATCGCCGCTGCTCTGCGCTGCGTCACAGACTTCAGACAGGGCAAAGTATGTCACCATGTCTGAACTTGCATGAATGAAAGTGACGGAATCTAAGCACTCAGTCAGCAGGCGACTCACTCAGCCTCCAGTGCGTCTGTCTGGCTCGCCTGTGTGGCGCTCTCTCCTGCATCCTTCAATGAGCATCACTCTGTAGAGCCGGTGAGAGGCATCCTTCTTTACAAACACCGGTCCTGGACATCCTAGACAGCCCGTCCTGCGACATATTTTTAGTTTGGACCCGTTGATGTCACTTCCTGCCTGGGTAATAGCCTGTTCAAATGAGCACAAGGATGTGGAGGGGTGTTCGGGGAGCCGTCAGAGGGGGAATTGTCGAGGGTCACGCGGAAGGCAAGTTCACAAGGTCACGCAGAGGCGAAATTTCCAGACGCAGACAAGAAAGGCGCGTTCGTCTTTAAAATGACAGCCATCATCCCATCTGGTTCACTCCAACTGTGCCCTATACTTTTATATAACCAGTCACATCCACATCATCCTACCCCCCTGTGATGCGCCGGCGAGTTTCATTTCCTGCTACGCTGTGCGCATTTACGGTCACGATTATGCAACGATGAAGGCGGCATCGTCATTTTGGGTGTTTTGACTGTGCATCACAACATTTCAGAAAATAATCAGGCACATAAGTCAGTTTTTAGTCTATCATAGGCTCCGTGAACACCTGTTGATGCCAAATTAGGAAGCTGTCAAAAACACTCCTCTGGGCTGAATTTCATTTCATGTCCACAATGTGTTTAATAAACTCATGGCCTTTTTAAAACTTCTCATCTCACTTGTGTGCTGAAACTTAAAGCCAAAACTTGCTTCTCAGGACTGTGCGTGTCCTTTTTGCACACAGTTAAAATAAACTAATCACATCGGGGGCCCGTATTTTTCCCTTAAGGGTCTTTGGGATATTGTTTGATAAAGGTAAAGCACACCCAAGTTTGTCTCCAGCGAAGAGCGCTATCCTCTTTCTCCACCCAGTCTCTCCTCTTTACCTTTGAACCCCGGCCCAGCAGCCCATCTCTGATCTACAGAGGGTCTCCTCTTACCTCAACCTGTCTCCCCTGGTAGGCCCCTGTGATAGATGACCATCAGCATGCCAATACTGCACAATATTTCAATTTCCTGTCCAGTAAGAGGAATTTAAGGGGGTTGAGTGAAGTTCAGAGACACAGTGTGGTGCCTTCAGCTCAAAAACAGTATTTAAGCCCCCGGTCTTCAGGGTGAGAACCCTGAGATCCCAAACATTCAGTGGTGGACATTCCAGAAACCAGGTCCTTTCTGTGTCAACTAAACAACCCCTGCCGCCATCATCCTGCCTGACACACAAAGATGAGAGTTGTTTTTTCTTTTTTAATCTAAAGTGCATATTCTGTCTGCAGGGTCGGGCTGGTGTCGCCCAGTTGATGTTGGTCCAGTTGTGTTTCCACCTGCTGAGATTTTGACGAGAATTATTTTATAAGAATAATGAAACAGCCTATAGTGAAAAATATCATTATGGCAATGTAGATAAAAATCTAAAAATAAACCTCCCATTAGAATATTTAAATTTAGGGATTCTTGCTATATTTGATTTGTATTTTATTCTTTATTATTATTATTATTATTATTATTATTATTTAAGTCCGGAGTTGCTATAGGTTGAAAAGAAAAAAAAACATTGTTTACTCTTGTTTTATTATTTTTTTAAGTTTGGCATGATAAAGGTTCCAGGCATTCATTCTTGATTTTTTTTTTTTTTTAACCACATTTTTAGGTCATATTTTGTTCTCTGAATCATAACAGATTTATAAAATCTTTGGCTGTGTCCTGATAAAACATGCACATTTTTATTCCATCCCTCTTTTTTACCTAAATTATAACATTATTCTGAAATAACAAAACGCTCACAACGGAGTCATAATGAAGCTGTTTGCGACTTTGTCATTAGGATTAGTTATATTTATATGCCATGGTGATCCAAACAAACAGGATTATGTACATTGTATGAGTATGAGTAAAGCGGGCAGATATCCAGTCTGTGTGGGACTGTATTAAGTCTACATCCTTGTGTGAGTGTGTGTTAGTAGTATTTTCTGATAGGAAGATACCCTCATGTGGCTCTGCTGTAGACGTCTGTGATTGGCTGCTGTAGTCAGAGGACTATGGCAAGCAGGAGGAGAGGCTGCGAGGCAGGCAGTGCGACCTAGTGGTGGAAGAAAGGTGTGTGTGTGCGTGTGTATGGTGCAAAGGGATCACAGACACACATAAAAATACACTCTTTCTGTCTTGCTCATAGATACACAAGCCCACATGCTTTATTAATTCGTTGTATGGTAATTTATCTCCATGAAACACACAAGCTTAACCTCTAACCCGTGTATTTGATCTAATGTCCTCAATATCCGACATAGTGTTCTCAGTTTAAAAATAACAGATAATTCCCTACAACCCACCCACACACACGACTCAAAGCTCTCCAACCAGGTCTGTACGCATTTGTTAAGTCACCCCCCTCACCTTCAACCCTACCTCCGTCCTCCCACTGCCAAACCCTGAACGCCAACCAAATGGCACTGATGGCAACTTCAAAGTACGGACATCCGTGATGATCCCATCTTTAAAAAAGAGCACCCCTTTGCTTCTGATATTGACTGTGACTGCGGTCAAGGCCAGAGAAGGGGTGTCCATCTTTTCTTTTTTTTCCAATCAACCAACTGAAACTTAGCCAGGCCTTTTTTAGGGATGTTCAACCTAGGATCCCGATTCGTCCCCCCTCCTCATTTCCAAAAAAAGAGACGGATTACCTCGCCCCTCCAGATGTGTTTTTATGAGATGTGAGATTGAAGCTTTGGAGGGAGGGGCTTTGATAAGGAGGGGGTAGGGTATGGTCGGGTGGGTGGGTGGAGCAGGTCACCAATTTTAGGAGGAAAAGAGGGAGTACAGTGTCGACAAGCAAAGTCCCAAAAGCAGGGTTTAGAAGGGGCCTGGCTCCACCAGAGCCACGGCCCATTTTTTCCTTCAAGGGGATTAATAATGAATTAAGGCACTCCCACCCCCTTCAAAAAAGATATTCATGCATGCTAATGCATCCATTATTTATAGTGTGCATAGAAGCTGGCTAGTGATGGCCACATGCAAGTGGGAGGGATGTAAGGATGGAGTGTGGAGGTGGGGGTCTCTTTTTTTCCCCCCTCCCCGGATGAAGCTCAGAGGCTCTGGATGCAACATCCGCCCATTGTGGCTGGAGGTGGAGCAGGGTGGGGATGGGATGGGATGGGACTGGATATGGACAAGTAGGAGCAGGAGAAGGAGGAGGGGGATGCAGGGGGGTGAGGGGGGCTTTGCTGCCAGACAGGCTGCTCGTGCATAGGCAGAGGGGGCCGCCAAGTGTTGTGGGGGGAGGGGTGGATTAAACAAATAAATACATGATAAGAAATAATCATGCCAGGGGAGGGATGGGGGAGGAGAGAAGGAGGGAGGGTGCAATGGAGACAAAGAGGCTAAGAGGGACGAGGCGGGGAGGTTAGTTAAGTCAGACAGGATTTACTGTCTGGACGGATCGGCTCTCGACCAAAAAAAGTGACGTAGAAGACAGGATAACTTTTTTGGATCAACTTTTGTTACGACTCTTTGGTTTGTAAGTTATCAAAGAGAAAATCTCTAAAACTTTTTTACATTTTCAGGATGTCAGGAGCTGAAATAAACTGTGATTGAGCTCTTCTTGTAATATCAATACCAGGTCTGGCACATTTATATTGGAAAGCAGAGGGCGATAATTTAATAAAGGCACTGACGAAATTGTTGCAGCAAAAGCAGATGTTGAATAGTGGAAATGTGAAATAGGGGGAAAAAGTGTGAAGGTGAGAGATGAAGGAGGCTGCCATCTTTTCATGTGCGCAGCATGCCAGGTATGTGGTGATGCGTTGAAGAAGCAGTGTGATAAGATAAAGCCAGATGAGCTTTCTACCCCACTGATCCCCACATTAGCATAGATACAGACATCAGCATGGCAGGGGAACTGGTGTTGTGGAGGTGACACTGAGGCCAACACGACACCCTCGCTCATCTCCATAGATATCACCGGGGCCACGCAGGTAAATCATACATCAGGCTTATCTGAGATACGTCTGTAGTGCGTGACATTCTGCCAGCAAGCTGCCACCTTAAGTTCCAGTAATCCTTGTAAGCAATTCATTCCTAATACTGCTTTGGTCGTCCCCTAAACGCAGAAATAGAACCGCACTTCTAAATTCTGTGGTGTCAGAGTGATATTTGGGAAACGGTCACGCAGTCTGAACGACGGCTGCTTTTACAAACTGCAGGACTTTTGGATAATCCCACAGAGGCTACTTAGAGTTCACTGTCTGTGTCTTTGCTTCTTGCGTGCATGAATACACATCTGTTGGAGATGTGGCAATATCTGGGGTAAGAGGTTATCAGTATGGCTTTGCAAAACCTTCCTCAATAGGATTGCGCTCCCATTTCAAATTGTGCTTTGGCATTATTCTCATGACATGCTAATGAAGTAAATCCCCCAGTATGATGGACTGGTTCTACTTCAAATGGATTAAATATTGTTACATGAACGAGCTGACTCAGGAACAATGCAAGTAACAGTCGGACGTCCATTAATTGCACACATGCAACATGTTTCTCGACAAGCAGCACCGGAGGCAAGACCTCCCAGAAGTGACAATGTGCATTGTGCAAACATTGCAACCTTTGTTCCCCCAACAAACACAAGGTGAGGCCCTTAAGTGTTCCTTTTTTTTTAATACCCAAACCTCAGCTACCACACAGGAAAAATCCATAAACATTGGAACGATGTCAAAACAACATTGTGAGGTTTGACGGTTTTAATTTTCCACTGCTCAAAGTGAAAAACAGCTCCTGCAACATTTCCTGCACCCCCGGTGATTTTTATGACAAATACAACAGCAGCTTAATTATACATGCGACCACCGCCATAAAAGCAGAACCATTAACTACCATCTTGTTAACACAGAGGACCTGCCACGAAAGTGCTAGAGTCGCATTTTAAAATCTTTTCACTCAGCGCCTGTCTTGTTGTGGCAGATTGGCACCATGTAGAGGAAATATAAAACAAACGTGGCAGTGTGTACAGGCTGCGCACACGGGGATCTGGTTAGGGCGAACAAGATAGTGACCACTAGAGGTTATTTTGATAGCGTACCCTTTATATGGCGGCTTAAACATGATTGAAAATACAAGTTAGCTTAGCACCACCCCAACGCTGACTCTCAGTTGATCCCACAGCTGCATGCACACTAGAAGAAAAGTGTCTCCTGGTGTCCCTGACCTACCCCAGCGTGTCCAAGAAGAAAGCTTTGGAGTCTCCAAATAAGAATGAACTTCCAACCTCTTCCTGTAGAGGCTTTGGTTACGTTTCAAAGGCTTCCTGGTTTAGCGTTACAGGCCAAACACACCCCAGCTGCATAGAAAGTGGTCAGTCTCAATGAGAGCCTTTGGGGGCCGAGGGAGATCAGACGCCCCCCTGATGTAACCAAACATCCCAGCTTAAGGAAAAGGCAACACAGAGAATGCCGTCGATGTTATTGCTTGCTTAAACAGGTCAGCGTTCACTCATGGCAAGTGTGATGTTACAGAAACTAATATCACGCTTGTGAGTAGTGGTTCAAACCCGGAGGCCTCTACAAAGAGAAATCAGAGTTTGTCACTCCCACAAAGGAAAGCAGTAATCTGAATATTTCATCCTCCGCCCTTTAATCTACCTTATCCTTAACACGTCCATATGGACTTCATAGAATGTGTCAATCTCTTGAGTGATAGAATGTAAAACCCACAAGCCCCCCTCCTAAAGACAATCCCATCAAGCAGCGTTCGCTAAGAGATCTACGGCCCTATGTTAAGCAAATGGGCAGAGAAATGGTGACCCGCTGGATCCATTATTTCTCCTCCTATTTCTTTTGTTTTAAGGCCGGCCTTATGTTCCCGAGTGCCTTTAAAGACTTGTTAAGAGAAAAGAGCTCTCTGCCTTGGAATGAGCTAACCTAATTATCATAGCAACTGCCACTGCTCTTTAACATGTCAATAGTGCTTGGCCTGCATGCATAATTCTGCTGTGTTATTGTGGCGGCCTCTGCGTTTCTCACTGACAAAAAAATCCAAACCGCAGGCACGGGGCCTATTGTCATGGGCGCATCCATCTGGATCAAGGCCATTAGAGGATATTTGCACTTCCTCTGTGGCTCCTGGCTCTTTTTGACATGCGGCAGAAGGAGCAGGCATCACCCACCAGTGTAGGGCCAATTGAGGTGCAGATTGACCAGAGGGACAGTGAAGGAGGGCAGCCAGCAGGGCAGTGCTCCTGTCAAATCCAGTGATGGACACCCACGTAGGGGGGGGCCAGTTAGTCAGCCTGCGGTTTCTGAGATCTTACGGCGATTGATGGGACATGACGAGGCAGGCGCCCTGGTTTCGTTCTTTTGTCCCTGGGGATGTTGGAGGGTGTGTCAGAATGTCAGAGGCTCTTGGCTTCAGCACACTTCTGGTGTCAACTGCCGACGATATACAACTGCCCTTTTCCTGCCCACACATACACCAACAAGAGGAAGGAAATTCAAGTGGCTGCGCTTGAGAATAAAACAAGTACTTTTCCGCTTTTTTGCAGCCTGAAAGCATGAATTAAACATGAATGTAAAGAAACTATATGCTCTGGAACACAGATTGCATGAAGGTAGGAGAGCGAACACATGGAACTCAAATGCATAAACGATGCCGTTTGAAGTGGTGGAAACATGCTGATAAGACACACAAATACAGGCCTGATGTGGTTAACACCGCAGCATTTACCAAGACCTTGAATGTACCTTGATATATGTATGTGCATGTATGTGTGCTGCACAGGTGAGGGAGACGATTAAACATAGATCTAGATACACAAATGGGAAAACGGCTCTCAGGGACACATCAAATAGAACCAATTCAGCTCCAACGCATAAACACCTCAGCTGTCAATCTGTGTCGCCTCACATGTAACTTATCCGCTTGTTGCCGCGTGCGCAGCCACCCTGAGCTGTGCTGGAATGCTGACAGCGCACAGATACCAATCTTGATTTGATTAGGTGTCAGAGTTGAGGGTACAAGCGCTGGAACCAATATCAATGCGAGGCGGGCGGGTGGGCAGGAAGGTGGTCGCAAAGGAGGTGAGGTAGAAGGGAAGGGGCAAGAGTGTGGTGGCAAAAGGGGGACGAGGGATGGAAGAGGAGGGGAGGTTGGGGGGGTTACCTGTGGCCCTGGCTCCTACTGGGAGTAATTTGGAACAGACTGCTCCCAATGTGTTCATTAGGGTTGTGATTGGGGCTGAGCGCAGGTGGGGAGGGCCTGCCCTGCCTGACGCTGAATAGTCCTGATTGTGCCCAGCATAAAACGCCATCTGTTTCAATGAGGGAATGAGAGCGAGAGAGAGCGAGAGAGAGGGAGAGCGAAGGAGGAGGGAGTCACCGATGCAAAGTCATGTTTTATGATGTCTGGACAATTTAGTGTTCTGACAAGGGTGAAAATAAATTTGGGTGAAATAGTCT